TGGTACCATCGAGTCATTTTTGACTCATAGCAACCCTATGTACAACACAATGAGACACTGCCTGGTCCTGCACCATGCTCACAATCATTGTGTTTGAGCCTGTCATTGTAGTGACTGTGTCCTTTGAGCTATCTGAAGAAGAATGAAAGTTTTAGGGGCTTTGTCTACTTTTGGCCAAATTATCTCCATTAATCCCTGGCACATTCAACAAATATTTACTGAGCACCTACTATGTATGAGGTATTTTGCTAGGCACCAAGGCTACAAAGAGACAGAAAAAAGCTCTGCTTTTAGTCTTTTTTTTTTAAATTTTATTTTGATTTGGGTGAAGATTTACAGAGTAAATTCACTTTTCATACAGCAGTTCACATATACTTTGTCTCATGTCATTGACCAAAATTTACAATGCAACAGCTCCCCTCCCACTTCCTCCCCATAGTTACCTCTTCCCAGTGTCCATCCCTCCATACTCTTCTGCGCCCTGAGCTGTCTCCCTGTGCATAAGCAGCCCTTCCTTCTCCCATGATTGTTCTCTCCAGGGTGTGTGTCTACTTGAGGTAAATGTTTAACTCACTTGCCTGTTCTTTGTTTGGCTGGAAACCACAGGTGTGGGTTCTGTTTTTAGTCTTGAGATACCAACTGACTAATGGGAAGGAAGACCATTGACAGATAAATTATTTGGTAGTGTGATTGGTGTTATACTTAAGGGGTGGGCAAATTTCTCTGGGAGCATGTGGGTGGGGAGCATCTGTGGAGAGGGAATTAGGGAAGGCTTCTCAAGAAGGGATAATTCAGGGGAGTCAGTAGTTCAGTTGTGCAATTCTTGCCTCCCATGCTGGTGACCTGGGTTTGGTTTCTGGCCAGTGCACCTCATGTGGAAGTTTGTGGAGACTTGTGTGTTGTTATGATGCTGAACAGGTTTCAGCAGAGCTTCTAGACTAAGATAGACTAGGAAGAAAGGCTTGATGATCTGGGTCAAAAACTCAGCCAATGAATGGTCCATTGTGCATGGGGTTGCCATGAACTGGGAACCAACTGCACAGCAGCTAGCAACAAAAACAATGAAAGATGATTAGGAATTTTCTAGGAATTCCAGGAGTAGCAGCAGAGCCAAGGAAGGCTGTCTAGGGCTGGGATATCACTCCAGATGAACTTGACAGCACCATGTTTCTGTATGTTACGAACAGAATTGCAACCAAGACAAATGGGGCCCTTGACCTCACAGCTCATATGAACTGTTTACAATCAGATATAATGTCATCTCCTCCCACAGGAGGAATTAGGGTGTGAGATGGGAGCTTGAAGGAGGGACACCAAGGCCAGATGTGGGTGGTCTCTTTTCTGGGTGCTGGCTCTCACAGGCACTGGGAGGGAAGAAAGGCTTGGATTGTGAAAGGGAGGCTTGGCGTAGCCCCTTTGGCATTCCTACTCTCACTCAGTGGTGGTGATGGTGTGGGTACCTCTGTCCCTGCCCTCCTTCGTCTGCTGTTGTTGCTTGAGGGTCCCAGGATAGGGAGGAAGAGCTGAGTGTGGGGTGGGAGGCTGCTAGGAAGAGGAGACAGGAAGCCAGAGAAGGAGGAGGGAGCTGGGGCATCTGCCTTCCCATCCAGAGACTTTGAGTGTAATATTAAAAGGTTCCTCATTATTTTCCTTGGAAGAGTTTGCTATCCTGATGATATTAATTATTCTTAAAGGTCAACAGCGCTCTTTCGAATCCCCTTCTGTTCTATCATGTAATCAGTTAATTAATTGGAAACCATTGAGCAGCGTCTGCTGAGTGTGTTGTCTGGTGTGAGTTTTCTTGTTTGCTTGCTCCTGTGGTGCTGGTTCTCTCTCTCTGCCTGTTTTCTTCCAAGGATTTGGAAACTTAAGTTTCCCCGCCCCTTCCCCAGGCAGATCTCCACTTCCTTCACAAGTCAGTTTAGGAGGTGTTATCCTGTTCAGCTTTCTTCTGTGTGAGGCCAAGTAATAATAAAGGAGCCCCTGGGTGGTGCAAATGGTTAAGCATTCCACTACTGATGAAAAGGTTGCTGATTCGAACCCACCCAAACATGCCTTGGAAGAAAGGCTTGGAGCTCTGCTTTGGAAAGGGCACAGCTTTGCAAACCCTGTGAAGCACAGTTCCACTCTGACACACGTAGGGTTGCCATGAATTGGAATAGACTTGATAGTAACTGGTTTGTTTTTGTGGTTTTAGTATTAGTAAAGTTCCTGGGTGGTGAAAACAGTTAATGCGCTTGGCTGCTAATCTATAGGTTGGCAGTTAGAGTCCATACAGAGGCACACTGGAAGAAAGGCCTGGTGATCTTCTGAAAAATCAGCCATTGAAAACGCTAGTTTTCAATAGTACTCTGCCATACGCGGGGTCATCATGAATCAGGATCAATTTGACGGCAGATGGTTTTTCAGTAATCATAGTAGCTTCCATTTCCATTGAATGCCTACCCTATGACACTGTCAGGAATCTTGAATGTATTATTTTATTTAATTCTCACCATCTGCTGGGGTAGAGATTTTGCTCCCTGTTTGCAGAGAAGAGAAGTAGTGCTCAAAGTGGTGAAGTGAACTGTCCAAGAATATAGAAACTGGTTCTGCATCCATGGATTCAACCAACCTTGGACTGAAAATTTTGCAGAGGGAGGGAGGAATTAGGTGCTCAAAGCAATCCCTCAAAGGCTAAGAGAGAGCATAAAGTGCTATTTACACAGCTTTTACACGGTATTAGATATTATAAGTAATCTAGAAATGATTGAAGGAGCTCTGGTGGCATAGTGCTTAAGGCATTTGACTGCTAACCAGAAGGTTGGCAGTTCAAACCTACCAGCCACTCCCTGGAAGGAAGATTGGGCAATCTTCTTCCATAAAGATTTACCACCTCGGAAACCCAAAGGGTTTCATAGCGACATGGGTGGTAATTAACTCGATGGCAGTGCTTTTGGTTTTTGGTTTAGAGATGATTTAAAGTATATGAGAGGATGTGTGTAGGTTATAAACAAGTACTACGCTATTTTGTGTAAGAGATTTGAGGATTCATGGATTTTAGTATCTGTAGGTGGGGAGGGGGACCTGAAACCAATGCCCCATGGATACCGAGAGATGACTATATTCTTGCTTGCTCTATGGTTTGTGCTTAGGAGTACCTAGAGAAGAGACTTGGGTTATTATGGTAGAGCCTTATTTAGGTGCTGCTGATTCATTAGAGGAGTACACAGTTGATGTGAAGGTAGAGCCCCATCTTCCCCAGTCTTTCCTTATGACACTTTCATTTTGCTCTGTCTCTAAAGCCTGATGCAAACAGAGGGAATCCCTCAGCTGCTGGAGGGCAAAGCAGAAGCTGGAAGCAGTGCTTGTGGGTATTTAGCCCCTGCCTATGTCCAGGCCTCCAGCATGATGCCATCATATGGAAAGGCCAACCTGTGCTAGACTCATGAGCAGCTCAGCGTGTTTGCTCAGGCTCAGCTCTCCTGCCTGCCTTGCTCCTGGAGATGGGCCCCAGGATGTCTCCACCTTGGGTGTGGTGTCCTGGGCATAACTGTCCCTGCCTGGGGTCTGGTCTGCAACCCAAGTGGAATATGCAGATCATCTGGATGGAACCTTCTCCACGCCTTTCCCCATGGGCTGCTTGGTGCTAGCAGATTTCCATCCTGTATGACTTTCACACATGGTCCTGGTTAATCCAGGGGTACAGTGGAAACTCTGACTCCATTTCTCCTTGCAGAAACAGTGACTTCCTGTTTTCCCAGGCCTGGGAGTGGGAATGGTTTTCCAATTCTACTTAAGGACAGCCTGTCTTAGTGGTGGTGAAAGGAAGCATGATAATGGGTGTCATTGGGAACATAGGAGATGGGACCCCAAGAACATGGCTCCTGCTGCTGCTAATAAAAACTCAAAAAAAAAAGAAAAAAATAAAAAAAATAAAAATCTTCCTTCCAAGGAGTGGCTGGTGGGTTTGAACTGCTAGCCTTCTGGTTAGCAGCCAAATGCCTTAGGCACTATGCCACCAGAACTCCTGCTGCTGCTAATAACAGGCGTAAAGAGCAGAAACTCTGCAATCAGGCTCCTGGGGGGTCAGTTCTTGGGTCCCCAACACAGCAGCTGATGAGCTAGGGCAAATGACTTCACCTTCTTATGCTGTGATCTCTCCTCAGTAAAGCAAGGATGATAATGATGATGATGATGATGGTGGTAGTGGTAGAGATAATCATGATGATACCCTTCATTGGGTTGTTGTAGTGTTTAAGTGAGTTCTTGCATGTAAAACCATTAAAGAGAGCTGGCACAGAGTAATCACTGTGTGTGTTGCTGTTGTTGTTAGTTACCATTGAGTCAGTGACCCCATGTATAACAGAACAAAACATTGCCTGATCCTGTGCCATCTTGATTGGTGGGATGTTTGAGTCCATTGTTATAGTTCTTGTGTAACTTTCTAACCTGGGGGGGGGGGGGCTTTTCTTCTAGTACTATATCGGACAATATTTTGTTGATCTATTTATTGTGATTTTCATTGACTAATTTTCTCAAGTAGATAGCCACACCTTTCTGCCTCATTGGTCATAATCTGGAAATGCCACTGAAATTTGTCCACCATGGATGACCCTGCTGGTGTTTGAAATACTGGTGAATACCAGTGGCATAGCTTCCAGCTTTATAGAAACATACAAGCTACCACCATACATCAAACTGACAGATGGGTGGTGAACTGTGTGTTTTAGTTACTGCTATTTCTGCCACCTCCACTATCACAGCAGTATGTATTGAGTATCTACTGTGTGTCGAGCACTGTATTGGGCACTTCACATTCATTCATTCGTCTGAATCTTTATGATTACTTTTGTGCTCAAGATGAAGAAACTGAGACCCAGAGAGGTTAAGTAACTTTCTCAGGGTCACAGGACTTAGGAGGATAAGATCTGAGAGTCTAGCCAAGCCCGTGTGGCTGCAAAGCCTGTGCTCTTAACCCCTACAGAGAGGGCTGGGCCCCACCCAAGTGTCTGATTGAGCAGTTTAACAAGCTTAAGAATCACCTGGGGATCCTGTTAAAAATGTACATTCTGATGCAGTACATCTGGAGTGGAAATGCAGGTTCTCAACAGGAGGTCAAACTGGAATGAGCTGGTTTGAAGCTTTGAGGTAGCACTGCCACATCTTTCTCCCAAGGAGCAACTGGTATATTGAAACTGCCCGCCTTTCAGTTAGCAGCTGAACACTTAACCACTGCACCACCAGGGCTCCTAGAGTCCTTCTAAACCAAAACCAAACCCACTGCCATGAGTGGATTCCCACTCATAGAGATCTCCATTGGGTTTCCAAGGTGGTAAATCTATATTTCCACAAAGTCCAGCTAGGGCTCTTTAAATTCCAAGGATCTGTCTGGGAAGGGGAGGGGCAGGAAAGTTTCAAAGGCAGTGGAAGCCCTCTGGCAGCTGTCAGCAAATCCACCCCTGTGTTCTGCTCTGGTTGCCCCAGAGAGTGGCCTCAGTTAACTCTCTGACCTTGCTCGCTGACTCTGTGCTCCCAGCTCCTTCGATAGTCCCTCAGGCTCTGAGCTAAGATCTCTGCTTCTTGGTTCACCCTCTGGCTTCATGGGACCCCCCTTTTTCTGGCAGTGTGGAGTGTGGGTACCCAGCAGGAGGCCCAGGCACAGTTACTTCTCCTCCAGTGGGGTTCTGGCTGTGTGCCCTCAGCCCCTCCCTCTGCTGCCTAGCACCACCCTCTGGGCCATCACTGAGACAGTTCCTCCTCCCCCAGCCCTGCACTTAGCTCTTTCTCTCCCTATCCTGCACCATCTTGGCCATTAACCTCTTAGGCAGCCCCTTCCCTCCTAGCCCTTCAGCTCCAACCTGCCTCCAGCTCCTTTCTCTCTCTGCCCAGGACACTCTTGACCCTCATCTCTTGAGTAGCCCCACCCCTCCAAGTTCTTGGCACCAGTCTTTGGTCCCATTCATTACTGTGGATGCCATTGTGTTGTCATCTTCTCTCTTTCAGCTTGTGCTCTGGCTCTCCCCCCTAAGGCAGCCTAGACCTCCCTCGCTACCCTCTCACTTTCTCTGGTCTCTGGTCCTCCTTCATCCTGCAGGCATCACTAGGCATGGAGTTCAAAAAGTTCTCCTTTCTGGAGGGAACACCCAAGGGTCTCCCTTAAAAGAAGCTCCTGATGGTAAGCCCAGACTCTATATGAAGAGAAATCCACTGTGTTCTCTTGTGAGTGGAACTAACATGGAATTCATCCTGCAAGTTAATGAGGCACTGTGGCTGGCAGAGTCCTCACTTGCTTGTTTTAGTCAATTTCCAAGCCTTTGACAGCCCTTCTCCTGATGGCCTAATGGTACTTCCCAAAGGAAGATCCCCTGTCAACCTTTGAACTGTGTTGCTAACTCCCCGTTCCAGGATAATGATGGCCCTTGCTCTCAGGAGCTCTTACAATAAGCACTTCCCTGGCTCCTGACAAGGTGTCACATTACATCTAGACACATGACCATTTTCTTTTGTCATGTATGTATGATCCTCCAACTTTTCAGGACAGAAGGATTTGATTGGAGCCAAAGTAAACACATCGCATAAGCAAAAGTTTACTAGATCCGTGGTTCTCAAACTGTGGTTCCCCAGCCAGTCACATCAACATCACTTGGGAACAGCATATTGCTGTTAGCTGCTGTTGAGTCAGTTGCTGACTCCTGGTGACCCCAGGCACAATGGAAGGTCCTGTGCCATCCCCATCGGGGTTGCAGATCAGACCGTTGTGATCCATAGGGTTTTTATTGGCTGACTTTTGGAAATAGATCTCCAGGCCCTTCTTTCTAGTCCATCTTTGTCTGGAAGCTCAGCTAAAACTTGTTCAGCATCATAATAACACCCAAGCCTCCAATGACAGGTGAGTGTTGGATATGCATAAGATGTATTGGCAAGAATCTGATAGAGCCTGGTGGAACCACTGAGACTATGGCCCCTACCTGCCTGCCCTTCAGGTCTGGAATTGAACCCCCACCTGTGGCTTCCAGCCAGACAAAAGACAGGCATATGAGTTGAACATGTACCTGAGGTAGATATACTCCTTGGAGAGAACAATCGTGGGAGAAAGAAGGGCTGTTTATGCACAGGGAGATAGCTCAGGGGGCAGGAGTGAATGGAGGGCTGGACACAGGGAAGAGGTAGCTATCGGGAGGAAGTGGGAGGGGAGCTGTTGCATTGGGATAAGTTGTAATCAATGTCGTGAGACAACGTGTGTGTGAACTGCTGTATGGAAAGTGAATTTGCTCTGTAAACTGTCACCCAAATCACAATATATATATATATTTTTAAAAGAGAGAGCCTTAGATTTTCCCCAAAAATGTAGATATCAGAAAGATGACAGATCCACTCAGGTGCCTTGGAAGAAAGGCCTGGCGATTTACTTCTGAAAACAGCCATGGGAAACCCTGTGGAGCACAGTTCTACGCTGACATACATGGAAGCGTCATGAATCAGAATTGACTTGCTGGCAGTTGGCTTGCTTGGCTTAGCGAAAATGGCCAAGAATATGCTTCTTCTAGGTTTGAAGAGCAGCACAGCACCCTGCCCTCTGTCTGCTCCCTGCCAGCCTTCTGTGCTTCTGGATTTTCCCAATCCTGACAATACCCTTGAGCAGTTCTCAAACCTGCCGAGGTATGTGGCCCTGAGCAGTTCTCACACCTGCCTAGGGCTGTGGCACACAGCTATGCTCACCTTGGTTCCTTCCTTTCTCCATAGACCCAGTTTTGCTTCTTGTCAGCAATTGCCTAGTCTCTTGACCTTTCCACAGATGCACTCTGCATTTTGTTTTTGTCTTGTCATTGATAGCTTTTGAGTAAAAAATCAGTGTGATGCCTTGGCCACTTCTCCACATCAGCATTCCTCTGCCAGCACCTCTCCGGGGGCAGTGGGCTGCATTCACCAGGGCAGCGTGCTCTGCCTCTGGGTGGGCTATTGAGAAAATGCCCAAGTCTGGCATGTAGTGCTCACCAAGCTCCAGAGAGAGCTCACATGCTTTCAGGGCAATTAACTTTTGGTTAATTTGTCTAAAAAGAAACTCCCAAGGAGCAGCTCCCCCAGAATAGTCTCAATAACACTCAAGGTCTGCTGAGAAGCAGATGGCATGGAGAAACAAGGCTTATTTTAAGGGCCATTTCTTGGGCCTTGAGGTGTGGTAGAGAGCCAGAATCCATCCATACTGCTGACCTCAGCCCTCTGTGTTAGGGCTGAATTGTCCTGGCCTGGTGGAACTTCAGGCTCTGCGCATGTGCCTGAAGGGTGGGTTGGATTTCAATACCAGCAGAGCCCCAGGGAACTAAGGGCTACCAGCTTCTCTATTATTTTGTTGAACTGCGATTTTGCTGAATTATATCATATTTGAATTCAGGGAGTCATTGCCTGGGCCCCTGAAATCCTCCTGCTGCAGAGAGACTCACACTCTGTCTGATATTTTTCTTAATGGACTTGGGCTGTGGTGGCTTCACTTGGGCTTTGTAGTTACCGGGGCTGGACAGGTAAGGGGAGAGATGCTGTGCAAGCATAATGATGACTTGTGCTTGTTGAGCAAGTGCTCGTGAAGGGCAGGCATTGTGTCAAGTGCTTTCCATGCCCTACCCCATTGAATTTTTACCACAACTCAGGGGCAGGACTTATCATCATCCCCACTTTACAGATGAGCAAACTGAGGAACAGAGAGGTAAAGTAACTTACCTCGAGTCACAGGGCATGGAAGTTGCAGAGGTATAGCACACAGACGCATGTGACACCCAAGAACATGACTTTACCCATCTGCTACACATAGAACCAGAGGTCAGTCACCCCTGTAGCCCAAAGGAAGCTTCCTCATTTGTCCTGGTTTGGGTCTCAGGAAACTTAAGCCATTGCTCTGCTTCTACTACCATCCAGCTGCATTGTCTTGGGATCATCACTTTCCCTTTCGGGTGCCGGTTTTCCTCCCCTGCAATCAGAATCTGGCCCTCTGGGCTTGCTTGGGTCCTGGCTCCAACAATAACTTGCCTAGTGACATGGGGAAGTCTTTTCTTCAGGCTGGGTCTCACTCTGCTCAACCTCCCCATTTGTAAGCCAAGACATGTAGATTGATGGTCTCCACTGTCCCTTCCAGCTGTGAGGTTCAGGATCTGCCCCTCAGTCCTGAGATGTGGTTCGTGCTGACCCTAGGGAAGAGCACTGCTTTGACAGGACAAGGAGGGCTACTGTCTCCCTGTTGCTTGTTTCAGGGACTCCTCCTCTGGCCCTGCCCTGTTAACTCATTTATGTTCTGGCCAGGAGGCTCGAGGTGCAGGACTGGCATTGCCCAGACAGCACGGGACTTAAAGGCTGACCTGAGGAGTGGAATCCACAGCTGGCCTCAGGGATTATCCTTCAGGCTCTTGAAGGGAAGGACCTGAATGTGTTTGCTGAGGAATGGCAACTTCCCATCAAAATAAAAAGAAAATAGAAAGCCTTTTACAGGCAAGGAAGGGTCAAGGAGGCAGAGATTCTCAGACCTTCTGAGATTGATTTTCAATTGGTTTCCTGCTAGACCCAGAATGAGACAGCTGATAGTGGAGACTGTGTGTGAGTGTGTGTATATAGTATGTAGTATGGTATATAGTGTTTGCATATGTATGTGTTGGTATGTGGTGTGTGTGTGTGTGTGTGTGTGTGTAGGTTGTTTCTATATGTGGAGTATGTGTGTAGGGTGTGTGGTATAGTATGTACTTGTGTGTATGTGTGTTTGAGTGTATGTACAAGTGTATATGTGAGTATGTGAATATGTGTATATGTGTGTGTGGAGCATATGTGTCATATAATGTGGGGTATGTGTTTATGTATATGTGTGTGTTTATGTATATATGTGTGTGTTTATGCATGATGTAGTATATATTGTATGTGTGAGTGTGTGTATGTCTGTGGTATGGTGTGTGGTGTGATGTGTGTGTGTGATACCTTCATCATAATGATACCCTCTGGCATAGCTGGCCAGTGGCTGTATGAGTTCACGATAGTGGAGAGGTCAGGCCTCACATGGACAAAATGATGTCCCAG